ATGGAACGTTCATACCTGTTAAGTTCATGTGATCTATTGTTTCATTCAAAGATACTATTAGTTTTTGAGTTTCTGCCTGGATGATCTATCCATTGATTTAAGTGAGGTGTTAAAGTCTCTGTCAGTTTCTCCCTTTTTGTCTATTAATATTTGCTTTATGTATTGAGGTGTTCCAATGTCTTGTACATAGATATTCACAATTGTTACATCCTCTTGTTGGGTTGATCCCATTATCATTATGTAACGTCCTTTATGGTCCCTCACTAGTCTTTGTTTTAAAGTCCATTTTTTCTGATGTTAAGTATTGCTACATTAGTTTTTTACTTTCAGTCTGTGTCTTTAGATCTATATGCTGCTAAGTCTCTTGTAGGCAGCATATAGAAGGATCTTGTTTTTCTCTCCATTCAGTCACTCTCTGTCTTTTAAGTGGACAATTTAGGCCATTTACACTTAAAGTAATTATTGATAGGTATGTACTGAGTACATTTTGTTCACTGTTTTTTATAGGTTTGCCAGGTTTCTTTCTTGCTCTCTCCTTATGATTGGTGACTTCCTGTAGTGTATGCTTTTACTACTTTCTCTGTATTTTTGGTATATATATTTTAGATTTGGAGTTTGTGGCTACCATGTGGTTCACATGTAAAATCCTAAGTATACAGCAGTCTATATTAAGTTGATAGTCACTTTTTCACTCCCCCCTCTACATTTTATGTGTATGTTATTCCATTTTACATCTTTTTATTTATTATTTTCCTCTAATTACGGCCTTTTATTTTCCACTTAAAGAAGTACCTTTAGCATTTCTTGTAAGGCCAGTTGAGTGATGATGAACATTTTAGACTGCTGTCTCAGAAACTCTAGCTCTCCTTCAATTCAGAATGATAACCTTGCCAGGTAGAGTATTCTTGGTTGTAGGCAGGGTTTTTTTCCTTTCAGATAGGACTGGATTGTTCTGGGATGCTTTGTGACTGTGTTACCTTGGTGAGATGGCTAAAGCTGTAGTGAGCATTGACGAGGGGTATCCTGTTACATACCGTGCTGGGGCAGCCTTGGTGGGATGGCTGGGGCTGGTGTGGACTAGGTGCCTGGGTTCACAGAGGCAGTAGGCTGGCCAGGATATCTAGAATGCTGCTCCTACCCATGCTGTCATGGTGGAGGAGGAATACTAACCAAGGTGCTCATCAGCCTCTGTGACTTGAAGAAAGTTCCATCAGCTGCCCTTCCATTTGGCAGTGTACTAGGGCTAGCTCCTATATATAGTAGTTGATTCTTTAAGCCATGTTCCTGTGCCCCAGGACATCTGTGGCTGGTATGTACTAGGCACCCAGGACTCACCAAGGTGGCTGGCCAGCTATAGTGCCCAGAACCTTCCTTCTATGTTATTAAGGTAGATGGTAAACATAAACCATGGTGCTCCCCAGCCCTCCAACCTGGATAGAATTCCAGTAGATATGCTATTCTAGGGATGGATCTCTTCTCTTCTAGGTGCTCTTTTAAACCTCTTTTTTTTTCTGTGCCCCAGAGCATCTGGGGCTGGTGTGGCTAGGGGCCCAGGGCTTTCTGAGTTGGCAGGCCAGCTCTGGTGCCAGAACTTTGTTCCCAGCTGCACTGTCAAGAAAGAAGGAAAACGAGCCTGGGCGGCTCAGTCAATTAAGCATTCAAGTCTCGATTTTGGCTCATGTCCTGATCTTGTGGTTTGTGAGTTTGAGCCCCACATTGGGCCCCTCACTGGCAGTGCAAAGCTTGCTTGCGATTCTCCTTCTCTGCCCTTCCTCTGCTCATGCCTGCTCTCTCTCTCAAAAACTTATAGCAGTTCCTTTATATTCTAGTTGCCCTTTTAAACCACAGGTTTTTTTTTTTTTTTTTTTCCTGTGCCCCACATCAGATGAATCTGCTTTATGGTCCCTCAATACTATTCCTTCCCCTCTGCAGCATTGCTGGGGGGGAGCTTCCCTTCATTGCCATGCCTCCCATTTCTCTTGCCATTCTCTGTGACGTATCTTTACCTGGGCAAAAGCTGCTCAGTCCACCCCCACTCGTTCTTCAAGAGAGACTACTCTATAAATAGGTGTAGACTTCTGTATCCATGGAGGAGGGGAGTTCAGGGTCTTTCTAGGTCACCATCTTGGACGAGAACCCCAGAAAGTTTTCCATTTCCTTTGCCTGGATTCTTCAGAAGAATCTTTATCTATGGCAGCTATCCCTGCAGAGATGGAGTCCTTAATGTAAGACTTAAAAATCAAAATTCCCCCTTAATCCATGGGCTACAGCATGGATGTCGCATTAGCAGGCATGAAAACAACATTCATCTCTGTCCTCTATCAGAACCCTTGGATGACCAGGGACACTGTCAATAAGCAGTAATATTTTGAAAGAGATCTTCACTCCACCCACCCACCCCAACCCGAGAACTAGCTCTCAACTGTGGGCTTAAAATATTCAGGAAACCATGTTGACTGTTGAGTGTCCCCACCTGTATCAACTGCCTTAGCTGGATCTTCTGGAGAACTTGCAGCTTCTCCCTCTGCACTTGTTGCGTCGCCCTGCACTCTGATGTTGTGGAGATGGCTTCTTTCCTTAAACCTCATGAACCAACCTCACCTGGCTTCAAACTTTCCTTCTGCAGCTTCCTCACCTCTTTCAGCCTTCAGAGAAGTGAAGGGAGTCAGGGTCTTGTTCTGGATGATGCTTTGGCTTAAGACAGTGCTGTGGCTGGTTTGGTTTATCCAGACCACTCAAACTGTCTCCATATTGGCAATCAGGCTCTTTTGCTTTCTTACCATTCATGTGGTCATTGGAGTGACACTTTCCGTTTCCTTCAAGAACTTTTTCTTTTAAACACAGCTTGGCTGTGTGATGCAAGAGGCCTAGCTTTTAGCCAGTTTTCAACAGGACTTTCTCACCATGTCTAATCATTTCTGGGTTTTGATGTAAAGTGACAGATGTGTTTTTATTCCTTTCACTTGAACACTTAGAGGCCATTGTAGGGTGTCTAATGGGTCTGGTTTCAATATTGTGTCTCAGGAATAGGGGGATATGAGGGAACAACTGGTTGGTGAAGTCAGAACACACACAGTTCTCAAGTTTGTCGTCTGATGGGGGTGCTTCTTAGCATCCTAACACAGAATAGTAACATCAAAGATTACCATAAGAAATAGAAAATAATAAAGACGTCTGAAATATTGTGAGAATCACCAAAATGTGACAGACGTGAAGCAAGCAGATGGTGTTGGAAAAATGGTGCCAACAGACTTGCTCGACACAGGGTTGCTATTAATCTTCCATTTGTAAAAAACTAACTAAATAAATAAAACACAAAAACCTGCAGTATCTGCAAAGCACAATAAAGTGTTTGCACTGAATAAAATCCCACAATAAGAAAAACATGTCTAGGAGCCGAGCACTTTCTGACATACAGCATCTACAGGCCCAGATTCCAAAGGCCTGACTCTGGCTCCATTCTGGAATGAATCCTTGATTCTTGGCAAACACTAGAGGGGCCAATGGTTCAAGTCTGCCCAGGACTGAGGGGTCAGTAAAGTCACTGGTACCACAGGATGGTCACCCTGATGATCATTCCTCCTCTTGCTAGCAAAATTCTTCCCTCAGAAATGAAGATACTTAGATACAGTGAAACCTGAATATAAGTCATGTTGCAAGTTCAAAGACTTCACTGTAATACGGATTACTCCCAAGACTTTGTGCCCATGGTGATATAGACCATTTTTACTGGTGTGCATGTTTCTTGATCTTGTACCTCTAAATGTTCCTGTTGGAGAGAGACCCTGACAGACTGTAAGTACACATATCCCCTCTCCCCTGACATTCCTCATGGGACCAGCAAGGTAGGACTGCCCCAAGGTTACCCGGTTAAATTGGGGTGAGCCTCAAACACTGGCCAAAATGTGCTGCTGCTTAACTTCCATTATCTTACCTAAATCCTAGAGTTTAGGTTCTAGTATTCTCTGTCGGCACCATACAAACTCTTCAAGGGACAAGTGCATCACTTCACATTTCATTGCCCGAAGCAGCGGCAGGATACCTTCTGGAAATTACCAACCTGCCAAAAAGCTTTCTTGGAACTTGGATTTTAATCTCTGCTCCTTCACGAACTCTGTGACTGTGGGGCACTTAGCAAACCTCCCCCCGGATTCTCTGTTTCCTCATCTGCAAAAGGGGGTTAATCCTACCTGCAAAGTTGGGAATGAAGATAGGAAATCAAACCAAACCCTCTAAATACCTGACATATACGACAAATTGAACATGTTCATAAATGGTCAAATTTTAAGCAAGTAAAACCTGAACTTTGTGCATTTGTTAAAACTTAGAGAAACATGCAAATATACGCACGTGAGGCAGAAGGCTTTTTGTTTCAGCAAGGGGAGACTTGGCAATTCCATTCAGGAATGTTTCCTTTATATAGAAACACAGTACTCATTTGGTAAGAAACCAATTTTTGGCCATCTGATTTGAACAAATTCTCTCAACCATTCTTTCAGGGGCACACCATTGTAACATATAATTTATTATTATCAGCATCATCATTATTTTACACATTTAACACCATGTTTCTTTCTCCCACATAGACTATTACCCAGTAGAAGTCCCCGAAAGGAACCACGGCACATTCATAATAAGGATAGAAAACGGTCTTCAATATCTGCTTTCCAATATGATGATTCAACTAAAACAGATTTAATCAACTGCAAAACCAGAAAAGTGAAAATCAGCCCCTGTGTGTTTCATAGCCATGATCATTAACACCTCCATGAAATGAGGAGAGCAAAGAGAAAAATGTCTGCTGCTTCTTACCAAGCTGCTATGTAACTTTAAATTACTTTTTAAAAAACTTACTTAAAACGCATTCTGCTGCCTTTGATGGTGGAAATATTTGGGTGTTTTCTCAGGGCCATCCGTAGGCACGCAGATGGCATGTATGATATGGAAAATAGTCGCCCTTCCTAGACTCCTGGGGTACAGGAGACTCTGATTTCCAATCTTGGCTCAGTTCAGAAGAAAAAAACGGAAGAGTTCTATCTCTAGGGGAAAAAACGCAGCCTGCTTTAGGGCATGCCTGACTGTCCGTCCACTCGAGTGTTCATGGCCAAGTCCTCCTGGCTCTTTCCTTCAGGATCCCTCTCCTCCGTGGTCTTCTGAGTGCAGTCACTGGGGTCAAAGGGTCTGGGGCTTCTTAAGGAACAACCCTATCTGGATATGTTCTGGAAGATCAGCTCTGTCAGCAGCCATCTTCTGCCTTCCGGAGCAGGTGCATGGGCTCCAGAGGCTGGAAATCGTGCCAGAGGAGCAAAGCCCCAGCAGCCTGGGATGGGCAGTCTCTGGCCCCTTCTGCACACACCTCCGCACCACTCAAAGGTCCTAGGAAACATCAGATCAACTCGGCATGGCTGACTTCATGGTACAAAAAGGCTTTATAAAAATTCTCCCTGCACTTCAAAAAAAAAAATGCATGTAAACATTGCTTCTAAGGCACTGAAGGACCCTTGAGCCTTTTGGTCTCCATTTTCCAATGTTTTGCAGTTTTACATGCTCAACTTTCCTTGGAGGTATCAATCTTTTTTTTCCTTATTAACAGAGTTCAGAGTTTGAGGCTGCCTTTGAATATGAGCGTGTGGTTTGACTGGCAGAAAGAGTATTATCAGGAGACTTATGATGTGTAAATAAAAGTACATGGACCTAAAATAAAACACACACAAGAATTATATTTCACACAAGGATGCAAATAGGAAATGTCACATGGATGGGATTTCATCATCTGTAGGCCGACAAATGAAGGCACTGTTCTGGGAGGCATCTGTACTCCAGAGCTTGCCTCAATCCACCCCAACGGTGCTCCTTCGGTAGAAGAGCAGGCCAGGGATGGACTGAAAGCCCAGGACTGAGCAGAGCAAGCCCATCTGCCGATGGACACACAGTACTGTACCCCTGCCATATTCAGATTAAGAGCATTAATCCCATGATGGCCAGAAACTCCTAATGATCTGAAATCTAAGAACACACAGGACCAAATTGAAACACTATGCTCTGTTCCGCAACCACAAATGCAACTTACACCATAATCGATGAGCTCAAGGGTAACGGGTTCTTCTTGTGTGTGGTAGGAGCCAGAAGCATTCAGATTTTCAAGACCTACTCCGTTAACTTTGAAAATCGCTTTCATCCAAACGAATAAGAAAGAAGAGCTACTTTTGAGTGTGTGGATTTCTATTGTGTAAACGTGGCATTCGGCACACTGAACACAATGCAGATAATACATATCTGTAAATGCAAGTAATTAGAAACAGCTCACATTCATATAACTAACTGTTCTGTAGCCTCTTGGAAAGGCTGAACTTATACACTGTCCAATGTTTTTGGAAGATCAGAGGAAAATGTTAAAAGGAGGAAAAAAACGCAGACTGGATTCATGTATCATTCTCAGACACATTAGAATCAGATAATTCACAGAGCCCCTAAATAAATTTCCCTGAAAGTGTTTACAGAATAGTCGAGAGTTCTAACAGAAGCAAACACATCTTTGCTTATTCTTTCAATAACCATTGACTGCCTGGGATGTACAAAGCATTAAACCAGGACCTACAAAAGGCAAAGCCCTTCCTTCCTTTCGGGGGAATGGGAAACAATGTGAGCACAGGAGTAAGGGTACAACAGTGGTCCCTCCCCGTCGCTGGAGGCCAAGTTCCAAGATCCCCCAAACAGATGTCTGAAACTGGGGATAGTACTGAAACCTATATAGGGTTTTTCTCCCTGTACATACATACCTCTGATACAGTTTAATTCTTAACTTAGGCAGAGTAAGAAATTAACAATAATGAAACAGAATAATTATAACCGTGCACTGTAACAAAAGTAGGAGAGTATGGTCTCTCCTCTCTCAAAATACAGTACAATAGTACTGTATTCACCCTTGTGGTGATGGGAGATGACAAAATTAGTGACATTAGGCTACTACCAACCTTCTGACCACACATCAGGAGGAGAATCATCGGCTTCTGGAGAGTAACTGACTGCAGGTAACTGAAACAATGTAAAGCAAAACCAGGCATAATGGGGCTCCTATAATAGAACCAGCCCCAGGCAAGTAAGCAATTAATTTGCTGTCTAAATCAGGACACTGAGAGTGAAAAAGAGCTCTACAGATAGACACAGTGGCTCGACAGGTGGAAACTGGGGTTCTCAACAGGCACCCCAGCAATACTTTGTTCTTGCATTTTGCGTTAATCTTTCATGCATGGCCAAATGTACACTGAAACAATTGTTAGATTAAAGCCAAATATTTTGGAAGCCCAGGGGAAACTATTTCAATCCCCTCCTGAAGTTTAGTAACCTATTCTGCCATTCCATATTTTTCTAAAATTTTAAGAAATACTTCATTTCTTTATTATGGAAAAACTCAATATTTGTTGAGCACGCTGGTTCTGAACTAGGTACCCCAGATACACAGATGAATAAGGCATAATTCTCTCAAGGAGATGCTATCTGCAAAAGCTGCCTATACATGGCATCCTTAGACACTGAATTTAAGAAAGTCCACTACTGGGGCACCTGGGTGGCTCAGTCAGTTAAGCTTGGGCTTAACTTGGGCTCAAGTCATGATCTTGTGGTTTGTGGGTTCAAGCCTCTGTGCTGACAATTTGGAGCCTGCTTCAGATTCTGTCTCCTCCTCTCTCTGCCCCTCCCCTGTCTGTCCTCTGTCTCTCTCTCTCTCTCAAAAAATAAGTATACATCAAAAATTTTTTTTTAGTATCCTCTACTTAAAGACAAGTTCATGGGCAAGGATTTGCTTTTCACAATGAGTTTACAAAAAGGTCGGGCCATGGACCAAATGTGCCCCAGCCCTCCAATGTATGTACTGAAGCCCTAACGTCCCAAGGGAAGTTGGAGAAGTGGACTGTGGGAAGCAGTCTGGTTGGGGTGGGGCTTGTGATGGGATTAATGCCTTTACAAGATGAAAAGCCCAGAATGTGAGCTGTAGCTCCCTGTGTGTCTCTGCCACCATGTTAGGACACCGTGAGAAAGCAGCTTCCGTAAGCCAGGAAGACCGCATTCACCAGAAACCACGTCTGCCACACTTGATCTTGGGACTTCCCGGCCTCCACAACTGTGGGAAATGTGGAACTCACTTGGTCTACATTTAGTCCTAGCTGCCTGAGGTAAGACAGGTTCTTTCCTAATACATTTAAGTGTTTACTTGGGACTCATTGACAACTTAAAGAAAGAAGATTAGACAATAATTTAAAGCTGAGAGAGAAGTCACCATAGATTGAAAACCGACTAGACATAAAAATAAAGCGCATCTGAAATTTAAATGTTAAGCAGCGATGGATGTACAGAAGTGATTTACATACAACTGCCATTCATCGCCAGTCACCGAAATTAGCCCCAAGTGAGGAACAGATCTGGAGTGCAACCTGCCCCACCTCCGCTAAAAAGAAAACCATTCAATTTTCATTTCTTTCATCAGATTCAGTGATTCTCTTAAGAGATACTGAAAACACTTTGTGAGATGCAATCTATGCATATGGCTACATTGGCAACATAGGGCGGTTACAATTCAAATTAATTAAAATTAGGAAAACTCAGTTCCTCAGTCACACCAGCCACATTTCAAATGCTCAGTGGTCACAAGTGTTGGCGGCCTGATGCACTGAATAGCATTTCTATCCTGTAGAAACTTCTGGACAGAGCTCATCTGGGCAGAGAATTTTTGTTTTTGTAAATAACGGGAAATCTACTTGGGAGATCTGGATTGGTAACTATTCGATTCTCTTCCTCTAGAGCCCGAATGGAGGAGTCAGCATATTATCTCCAACAAATCACTAAGCATTATCTTCAACCAGAAGCATTCTTCCCAAGTAGCTTCTACAGAAATATTTAGTGACTGCACGCTTGTTCTTGGTCTTAAGGAGCTCCGGGTCGGAAAGTCAGGTCTAGGTGTGTGAGTTTTGTTCACTTACCCTCTCTGAACCTCCACTTCCTCTTACGACAAACAGGGATACTGATGCCTACCTCTCTCTCTCAGCTTCCCATGATCTACCCTGGATTCTTGATTCTGCCAACACGCATGTTACTCGGGGCTTCAGCGCACAGAACTTCCTCCTAGCACATGGGCCTTTTCAATGCTGTTCCCTGTGTCTGGAGCACATTCCTAGAGTGAATCAGCCTCCCATCCTCACACACACCATGCCTGTTTCACTCCCCAGGTCGTAGCACGAAGGCCGTTTTCACCCAAACGCTGCCCTTGATGCTGTGAGTCAGATTCCTATGACACGCTCTCATAAGTCTCTGTCCTGATGGGGGAGCTTAAGGCAAGCTGAGGGCAAAGCACGAGCTAGCACCCCTCCCACCTCACCCCAAGGGGGCTGTGTGTGCTACTCCTCAGACACTCTGGGCTCCCCAAGAACAAAGGAAAGGAAACAAATGGCTAATAGAGATCACAGTCATGCAGAACATGAGTTTGTCAGTTTACAAGTTTCTTAGTAAATTACAAGAAAACTTCAATCTTATCAATAGCCTGATCTCCAGAAACCTGTAGAGTCGGTTTCCTGGAGCCCCAACATTACCCTCCCCTCCATAGTGATATGGGGAACACAGGCAAGAAGGAAAGGGCAGATAAAATTAAATTTCCTTCTAACCTGCAGCACGTTGACAGATACTTGAGGCAAATACAGAGTACTGTCCTAATATTAACGTCTTACTGGGGGGTGGGGGGGGGAGCACCTTAGCTTGACAATGGCAAGGCCTCAGCTATTTTAGGAGTCCTCTTTAGCATACCAAAGTCCTTCTGGAGGCCTCCCTTTTGACTCTACCTCCCCCAACTCCATAGTTCGCATATGCATTTAATGAGTCACTCTTCACAACTCCAGTACAGCTCTTTCTGCCCACGGGTCCTGTCCCTGTGTTTTAATAAAATCACCGTTTTGCATCAAAGACCTCTTCATGAATTCTTCCTTGGCCATCAGCTCTGAACCCCAACCACTCCAAAACCTCATCAGTACCATTTACTCGGAGTACAATCTTAACGTCTGTCTCCTCTATCAAGCTATCCCCTCTCCGGGACCAGGAATGACTTCTCTACTTCTCTCACCATTTTATCCCTAGTTTCCAGGACAGTGCCCAGCAAGCAGAAGGTATTAAATGGTTTTGAGCTGAATGCAGGCATTTCTGATATAAAGTGACCCATATCTCGCATTTCGGAGTACCCTCTGCTTAAGATACTGGGGCTTGCAGAGGTACGGGGGGGTCGTGTCGGAAGCAGACAACTCAGAACCTGTGACACTTTGTAACCAGAGCCCTAACAAAAACAGCACGTAAGCCCGGCAGGTGGCTCAATGGAGCTCAAGGCAAAGCGTAGCATGTTAAAATGTAGAAGACTTGAAATGGCAAATGCTGGCTGGAGTGTATGGAGACCAGGGCAGGAAGATGGAGCTGGGAGCAAGTGGGGTCCCTATGGGTGGGTGTGGGAAGAAAATCAGCAGAGAGCCTGGGCAGTGCGGGGGGCTGGGGGAGGACCTCTCAGAAGAGGAAGCTTGGTGAAGAGGTGCTCAATTCGATGTTCTTAATCTAGAGCCAACGTGGCCTGTGCGCCTGCCTCTGTAGCAGCTGCATGCATGCAGGGCTCTTCTCGAAGATTATTTTTCCCCACTATTCTGCATCCTATGAAACATCTGTATATAAACCAGCTCTACTTCCACATTATCCTGACCTAACTCCTATGACCTAAGTGGTTATAGAACAGACGTCACTGGTAAGTGTTACACAATTCCTTCCACCTTCTCCTCCTAGGATCTGCACAAAAAAACTCTACTTACAGACTTTGGTATCTGTGTCTCACGTAGCAAGAGCTTGGATGCATTCATCAACTACCAGGAATCCGCCCCTTACAAATAGGGCATGTTTGCATTTTTTATTTTGATGCCGCTTTCCTGACCACAGCTATGCTCCAAAATTAATCTACCAAGCCCGTGCAAGCATTAAAGAATACAGGTCAGTATTTACTGAGTACAGACCCTAAGCCCAGCACCGGGCTAACCCCTTTGTATGTTTACCTCATTCAGTCCTAAAAGTGGTGCTTTGTGATGGTGAGGCTAAGCTTCATTTACAGGTGAGAAAAGCCAGGTAGAAGTTAAGCACTTGCCAGAAGTCACACAAGCAGTTGGCAAGGGTAGAAAAATATTAAATCAACAGAAGAGTGAAATAAAGGTCAGCAAAAGTAGGTTTACAGTTCATCAGGACCACTAGGGGAGGAATATAAAGAGCTCACATCCTTTCCCTAGAGGCCTCTGACTCTGGTGGGAGACATCTCCTCCGTCTACCCCGTGAGCTCACACCATAAAGCCCCCCAGGCTCCACCAGCAGTGCCACCCCACTAGCACACCGAGCACCCCTGCAGACCCCACCCACAGTCATCCCATCCAGTTCCCGCCCGTTCCTGTCCCGCTCTCAGGATGCACCCCCAGCCCCCAACACAGCCTCACCCCAGGGGAAGGAGGCAAGTGCAGCACGCTCACCCTCTGAGTTTACAATCCAGGTACCAACATAGCATCCCTTAGGTATGTCAGCAAAGCAGGAAGGGCTTCCTGTCAGCTCTGCTCGTATATAGTAAAACCTTGGTTTGAGAGCATCATTCATTCTGGAAACATGCTTGTAATCTAAAGCACTCATATGTCAAAGCGAATTTCAAGAACCATTGGCTCAGTTGTGATCATGTGACACTGGGTGGCATGTACCACTTAACATTGAGAGACGTCACTCATTTATCAAGTTCAAATTTATTAGAAGTGTTTGCTCACCATGCGGAACACTCGCAGAAGTAGTAACTTGCAATCCAAGGTTTTACTGGGTACGGCTCGGTGTATGTTGGGGTGTCTGGGATAGCCATTTCCTCCCAAAGCTTTCTATGGATACTTGGACATGGAAGCCATATTTAGAAACTCAATACTGACTGATTCAATTTGCCAACTCCCAAGTCAAACACAGAGAAGACCCACACGTTTATGAAATGGCAATGGAGAACAATGGAAACTTACTTGTATAAGCTGATGGTTGGCTCAACGGCTAACATAACAAAGGGTGCGACAGTGTAGGAGACGGCCAGCTGAGTGACTGCCCAGGTGACTACGTCATACGCAACCTTGAGGGCTTTTGAGGAAAGGAAGTAATGTCTGTAGTTGTTCCTCATCTGCAAGCCAAAGAAGGCAGAGCCAGGGTTTAAAAAAAAAAAAAAAAAGAGTTTTTTTTATTCCATGCATACAGGCAGGATACCCTGGGAACGCGGTTGATCAAAAATGCCACTATGGTTTTTACTATTGCAAATATATATATTTATGTCCACTGTTGACAAGTGTTCAAAGAACTAAGCAAAAAGGAATGTTACCTTTTGATACCTCCCAGAGAAAGGCCCTGTTTATAACCTTGGCACATTATTTTCCCATGCCTCTCTGTGCATACACATCCACATTTATATTTTCACTGATGGCACAGATTTATTTTCTAGGCTGTTTTTTTTTTCATTTAGTGAAAATTCTATTCCATGTCAAAAATATTAATTTTTAAAAAATAGTTTTTATAGAGTGCAAGCAGGGGAGGGGCAAAGAGAGGGGGAGACACAGAGTTCAAAACAGGCTCCAGGCTCCGAGCTGTCAGCACAGAGCCTGACACGGGGCCTGAACCCACAAACCGTGAGATCATCACCTGAGAGGAAGTTGGACGCTTAGCCGCCTGAGCCACCTAGGTGGCCCCCATGTCAAAAATATTAACCCGTGGGGCGCCTGGGTGGCTCAGTCGGTCAAGCATCCAACTCCAGCTCAGGGCATGATCTCACGGTTGGTGGGTTCGAGCCACGTGTTGGGCTCTGTGCTGACAGTTAGCTCAGAGCCTGGAGCCTGCTTCGGATTTTGTGTCTCCCTGTCTCTCTGACCCTCCCCTGCTCAAGTGGTCTCTCTCTCTCAGAAATAAAAAAGCATTTAAAACAATTTAAAAAAATAACCTGTGATATATTGTGGAAAAGCTAACTCTTCCACAATTAATTTGTAGGTCTTTTAATAAACGGGACTAGATTTGCCTCTAGAAAGACATCTAATTCCCAGATGCAAGAACCAAAGGCATGGTTGGAACAATGGCCGGCTTACAGGTAGGTTAGCCCCAGACCAGGCTTCCTGCAGCTTCCAGCCGAGCTAAAACACTCCTTCTTGGCCTTGAGTTCAAGATAGAGCCAGAGCCCCACCCACTGCGGGAGCACGAGCAGTATCAGAAAGCAAACTCATACCCAAGTTCATTCTCCTGGGAACACTCATCTATCATCCCCCACCTAACTTGTTTGTGAAAAATATGCCCAGGCCCCTCAAAAGAAAGGCTTGACATAAATCAATGCTTTTATACAGTTGAAATCACAGAGCTTTAAAGGCATTTTAAGGAATAATACTCTGGATAGATTAACAAATCAAATTCTGGTCTTTGTTTTAGCTTGTCTTGGCCATCTGTTCTTTACTTGTATAATCTACGGGGTATATGAATGGAAGAAAAGAAATAGTGTCCCTCGTTTTCCATGTACAGCTATATACAATATAGACTTTATTTTAAAAGTGCAGTAATCAGCATGAGTAGTAATCAATTACTCTCATTCACACATATATTCCAACAAACATTCATCTAACTAAGCAGGTAATCCACAGGGAAGTGACTCTTGTTTGGCCGTGTTCCACTGCCTAACACACAAATTGGCACAGTGGATGGCTCCTGAGACAGTCACAGGATACATGAATTAAAGAAAGAGTGAATAGCTATGCTGGGGCTCCTGAATTCACATCCAAAATAGTTTGACAAATGTCACTAAAAATCCCTGGCACCAAGGACGCCTGGGTGGCTCAGTTGGCTAAGTGTCTGACTTCAGCTTGGGCCATGATCTTGCAGTTTGTGGGTTCGAGCCCAGTGTCCGGCTCTGTGCTGACAGCTCAGATTCTGTGTCTCCCTCTTTCTCTGTCCTTCCCCAGTCTCTCTCTCTCTTAAAAATAAACAGGGGCACCTGGGTGGCTCAGTCGATTAAGCGTCCGACTTTGGCTCAGGTCATGATCTCCTGGTTTCTGGGTTCGAGCCCTGCGTCGGGCTCTGTGCTGACAGCCAGCTCAGAGCCTGGAGCCTGTTTCAGATTCTGTATCTCCCTCTCTGTCTGACCCTCCCCTGCTCACACTGTCTTTCTCTGACTTACCATTACTTACATACATGTTCGTCTCATTCTTTAAGGGCAGGTAGAATTTGTGTTTCTTTAACATGTGCTGTACAACCAGCACTAGGTAGGAATAGTCTAGGGCCAACTGATGGCTACCCAAACAAATTTCACAAAGAATTCCACACAAACTAATTTAATCGGATCAGGCATGAGTGTGTGAAGAGGTAGAGCTATCTCTAACAACACAACGTTATTGGCTGCACAGACTTTGTGAATTATTTCTCAGCTTAGGATAATGAGATGAGAAATTGAGTCTAAGCAGAATGAAGCCTGTGGAGCCTCTATTATAAATCGTCATCTATAAGTGGTAGACTGCTTAATGATTAAAACTGTTTTCATCTCTTAAGGTACAAAACATTTGTCACTCCTAAAATTCCTTGTTTTGCAAATACCATCTGTAAATAACATAAAAACAATCATTTCATGGCCAAAAATTCCTATATATTGAAGTATTTGTCTAACAGGAAGACTTTTGTTGTGTGATTTTTTCAAAAGATCACTCCCATCTCCCCCACCTACTTACGGGACCAGAAGGTAACAAACATGGAGGCAGCAGATTATTAAGGAAAAGATCCTACCACCGAAGGAAGCTTACCGTTCTGGCCGCTACTGTGACGAGGGTTCCAGTTAAGAAGGTAAAATAGTATCCAGGGTAGACGCCATGCCACAAGGCAGACAGGACAAAGGTTAGCACCGTGGGGTACCAGGGAACCCGCTCGTAGCACACTCTAGGAAGAGAGCAAGGTACAAGAAGCTATCAAAGGACCAGAAACATCTAACTACACTTGTGTCTTCAGACCACACGGAAATCATCTGATCCATTACTGATGGAGATCACGCCTAACCTCATCAGGGCCTTGCAATGTGATCCCAGTTGGCTGAACTCCATTTCCTAAATGCTACCAGACGAATTGCCTGTTTTAATCCAATCGTTTGGGGAGTAGAATATGAAGTTTTAAGCTTCATGGAACTAAATGATCTGGACCACGTCATAATGTATCTAATCAAAGTCCAAGTGGTCACTGCACCCAGCAAGAGCTCCCGCCTTATGGACGCTCACTCCACCTGTGCCCTGATCCACCAAGGATCCTGACGGATCAGTGCCACTGGCACTGATACTTTTTAAGTCAGGACAGCATCTTTAGAACTGGGTATCTTCATTCAGTCAAAATTCCAACCTGGACTTCATGCCGTCTCACGAGGAAACACTGCAGACCTGTTCATTGCTCTTGGCAAGGACTCCAGCACAAAATCAATGTGTCGGTTACATGACTCATCAGCTCTTCCAGTGTCCATTGGATTTCAATCCACAAGTGTGCTTTAAAGAATGATACTGTGAGGACTTAGACACTGTCAGCAAACACCCTGGAGATCTTTGACTTATTGCACGATTAAAACAAAGTGATGGGAACTTTCTCCCAAATTCGATCTATACATTTCCAGGGGCAGTGTAAGGAAGCCACGATGTGGTTTACTAAACAAGAGGACCCAAATAAAAAATAAAATAGAAATTCAAACAGTTAACACCAATCCACCTTGTCAAAAGTAACAGATTTGAACCCAAACTAAGGATTATGGCTTCCTCTTCACACAAAGAAAGTGCATTTGGGGAGAGAGACACAGAACCTGGGGAGCCACTTGCAATGTTTCTTTGAAATGGGGTGGTCGGCACAGGTATTTGTTCCTTACCCTCTGTATCTTTTTGTATGAATTAGATACTTTGTTTTCTAAAATGCTTTTAAAATATTTGTTACATTGTTATGTGCTCATTATGTATGTTCAGTGTTAGAACATAAATTGCTAATGGAGACAGGACTCCTGGTACACTGGGATTACCTGACACAGAAATAGAGGGTCAGGGGTGCCTGGGGGGCTCAGTCGGTTGACCATCTGACTCTTGATTTAAGCTCAGGTCATAATGGCACTGTTCATGGAATCAAGCTCTGCGCCAGGTTGTGTGCTGGCAGCGTGTAGCCTGCATGGGGGTCTCTTTCCCTCTCTCTCTGTCCCTCCCCAACTTGTACTCTCTCTCTCAAAATAAATAAACATTGAAAAAATAGAGGTTTATGCTAAGATTTTATGGTCAAATTCATAGAACAATAAGTGCAAATTTCCCAAAAGTCGCATGTTCAGCTCACCTCTCAGACAACACTGCATGAGCTAACGTTGGAATGTTCCTGTATATTGTCTCCCACCCCAATATCGGGACCTATGAAAAACGCTATGTATCAAAAACTGAATCTATAGCGTGACAGCTTCACACTCTCTCCTTGCACTCACATGATCAGAGTATTCACTAGCTAGGGTTTTCTGCTTCAAGGATAGCAGGTTATTCATTCCACATTAAGTAATGTTTCCAATTTTGGAATGTGGAGGCAAACAAAGGACAGAGGAATATGAACACAAATGTGAGGTTAAAAAGCGTGTATCTTTAAGGTACCATCAAGCTGTAAATGCCAGGGGTAAATGGAGATCTTCAGTGATTTGATGCTGCCATTGACCTTCCCTGACCTAATCTATAGGTAAGAAGCAGCACGACACAAAGGTTTAAGAGCCTGGCTCTGGAGACAGTCTGTTTGGGCTCTTATCAAGTACTCATTAGCTGTGTGACTGTGAGCAAGTGTCATAATCTCTGTTTCACTGTCCACGTCTGTAAAGTAGGGCTAACCACCATCTCGTGGCACTGATCTGAGAACTCCATGAGTGGCTGCTAGACAATGGCACTAGTAGGGGTTTAAGAACTAAAGTAAATATGCCACGCTGTGACCTCCTCACATTATTTCGGCTTTTTCACTGACAGGGCAGAGATGTTAAGGCAAAAGTGACAGAGGACACAGTGCTCCTGGCAGACGCCCATCTAAACAGAACCCAGAGCCATGAGGAATGAGGTCATTTCTTATTTTTCTTACCGCTTGAGCCAAGCAGCTGTCTGAATATTCCAGTTTTCTAAGTACATTTTGAAACTTGTGGCAGTCTAGAAAGAAGAAAATAACACCTATCATTAGCTTTAAAAATACCCCAAGTAATGGAAAGTCCTCCCCAGAATTTCCCTGGCGGCAAAGGAGATGTGCTATTTCAAACAGAGTGCTCTCTCCAGCGAGAGCACATCAGCGGGTCCATCCTGCGCAGTACAACTTTCTGGTGTTCAGACGATTCACTCTGTGCTAAAACTTGGCTTGCAAAGTCTTCATTTCCCTCAGAAAGTATTTGCAAATTATAGGAAAATTGAGGGAATGTCTTGTAGGTTTTTCTTCCCCTCTGGTTAAAAAAATTTTTTTTAAGTCATATGAGTTTTAAAAAGTAAACACTCTAAAAGGGGATTTGCCATAGGAAAAGTTTAATCCTATTGATTTAGGGCCTTTCTGGAGACAGCCCAAGTTTAATTGTCATCTTTCACTCTGTGGCCATCGGTAAACGAGGTCAGTCTTGTGAAGGGATTCTACAAATAGCTGCTCATGTTCTAGGCTTCCAGTTGGATAGAATAGGGAGAGATTTCACACATGAGGGAGTCTCTGTACAGAAAAGAAAACAAACGTCACCCAACTGGCAATGACACGGGTGCCACAAAGAGAGTTTCCAAAATAATCTATCAATTGGGTTTTCTCATTAAAAAAAAAAAAAAAAGTCTTGGGGTGGCTGGGGGGCTCAGTCTGTCAAGCGGCAGACTTCAGCTCAGGTCGTGATCTCAGAGTTCATGAGTCCAAGCCCCACGTCGGCTTCTGTGCTGACAGCTCAGAGCCTGGAGCCTGCTTTGGATTCTGTGTCCCCTTCTCTGTCTGCCCCACCCCTACTCGTGCTCTCTGTCTCAAAAATAAAAATTAAAAAAAAAAGTCTTATCAAAGGCTGGTAGTAGAAAGCATGAAGCAAACTTTCAAGAACCAGAATTCTTGGGGGTGCCTGAGTAGCTCAATTGTTTAAGTGTCTCTTGATCTCAGTTCAGGTCTTGATCTCAGAGTTGTGAGTTCAAGTCCCACATCATGATGCCTACTTAAAACAAACAAAACAAAACAGAATTCCTAATAAAGGTGGAATACAAGTGCCACTTTATTTTAGCCATAAGGAAATCTTGGGCCATACACTGGCCTAATGTAATATGTTTGGAGGGAAGGAGAGAGATGATAAGTAGGCAGATAGATTGGAGAGAAATATAATTAGATAAATAAATAGATACAGCATTTTAATTCAAAGCCCTAAGGGGTTTTATTTATGTCGTCTTTGGCTAATACAGTATGTACAGCTTCAAACTGCCTTTACTAAATCAGACTGCCTTGCTTTTCCTTAGCTCTTTGCTCTAGATCAGCTCTACTGAAAATGCAAACTTCTCTTTCTGGCTTTCTTTTCTCCCCTGACCACATACCCCTAACAAGAAGACTGTGTCTTGGTGCACAGCTGAGGGGACTGGTGAGCAGGCAAAGGGGGGCCGCTGTGAAGGACGTGTACCCGTGGCAGTGACCCAAGATTTTTGTGGAAGCCAAGAATTTTGGTGGGAAAGGAGTCATGACGTGACTCACTCAGACGTCATCTGTATAGGAATGAGGAGCTTGCAGAGTATCCACACTGCTCTTCCCAGCACGAGAAAGGTAGTGGAGGCTGCTGCTTGTCCATTTAAGATGAAAAGAAGTCCCGGGCACCCAGAAAGTGGAGAATGTCCACCATGTCCCCTTCCGGCCTAGTGTCCACCTAACAGGAAGCAGGTGGTCGGTGTCCACATCCCTGGTTTCTTGCTCTACAGGCACAGCCTATTCTGCTCAGACCCTCCGGTGGCACCCTGCCTGCCTTGGGCAGAGGAGGGGGAACCAGAACCGACAGCAAATATGAGTCCCCCAGCTACTGGACCAACCCTGCTGCATGTGGAGAACCGTGTCCTTACTCCCACTCAGCAGCAAGGAGGACCGGGTGGAAAACAGGGCCTTCCCATCCGCTCTGAGTGCTCACACAACGCCAGGGAAACCAAGGCTGACGGGGCCCGACGAGACCACCTCTAGAGACAAGGACACGTCGAGAACCGTGCTCCGAGAACACAGCCGGGGAAAAGATAAAACAAAACCCGCACTGATTCGAGTGGCGTAAATGCTATGTTCCGTGACAATTATTCTTAAAAGCAAATGGATTGGAAATGTTTCAAAAGGAACCGCGCAGAACGCTTGCAATATCACAATCTAAATACAGGAACTTCCAGTCTGTGTCCTTGACTAAAGAAAGCAGAATGTGAAATAAGAGAAGATGACATCTGTACTTTCTAGTAGAAAGAATAGGAATGTAAACAACAAAATGATTTTCCTGGCTCTTTTTCAGATTTCTGCATGTCATTCCTTGAACCATTAAACAGTCAAAAAGTAGGGATCTTCCAAAAAAATACAAAAAAACCAAAAACATGAAAAAAAAAAAAAAACAGGAAAAAGTCCAAGAGGCCACTAAACCTGGAGTTCCCTGATCCCTCAGACACTCTGAGGAAGACTATCCAGGGACACCACACTCAAAGCAAACCATTTGCTCTGTTTGCGATGGAAGCTTGATTCAAACGTGTAACAGACTCACCTCAATTTTCCAGATGTTTAGGTTAGAAAGCAGATCCCAACAGAAATTTCCATTCTTATCCACTCCGCTGAACCCAAATCCAGCTGCATTATTCACTGCATCAGCTATGGGTTTTAAAACGACACATTAGGCTACGGAACAAAAGCCACATTGCTGCTTTACAAGATATTAAATGTCTGTCTAGCTTTAAGATGGAGAGACAGGCAGCGGTCTCTCCTTGGGGAAGGAAACTGAGACAATTTAAAGGACCTGGTACCTTTATAAATGAAAGAAACATCAGTGGCTCTTTGGTGGTCTTAATGTTCATGGATGCATTTTTATTCATTCACTAGCAGTGAGTGAGCACCTGTGAACAGTAAGAAGGCACTCGATGCTCATAGAACACAAAATGAAAACAAAAGAGAAATGAATCAGAACAAAGCAATAAGGATTTAGTGACCAATTTGACATAAGGGGAGAAAGGGAGGAAGGTAAACAGACATCTAAGCTCAGAAGCAGAGGCCAGAAGAAACAGAAGATCCAGGGGACTTGGGTCCAAGAGTTATCATTAAAGATGGCACAATATGAAGTGATGGTATTAGTTCTGAAAGAGGGACTGGAGCTCATTCTAGACATACGAAGGGTGACATGCCAGTAGGTATCAGCCCAAGCTGTCAAGATACAGTTAGAAAAGTCTAGAGCACAAGACGAAGAACAGAGCCAGAGACATGAATGTGGGGCCAGCAGCCATGGAGGCCACACGTGGACCCAATTACCAAAGCATCCTACCCACAAAGCCAGCCTGAGAAAACTCCGGTTTCCATCTTTATTGCACTTCCCTGAACTTTAAGATGAGCCCCTGCAGTGAGTGTAACATTTCTGATTCCTTAATTGTGTGATTTTGTAATCAGAGACCTGATGAAATCAAGATACTTCCATTATGATGACCAGGAGACTCACTTTCTCTTTTCACTTCGTTCAAGTTAGTTCTGTTAGACTATTTTCTTAAAAAAAAAAAAAAACAAACTTCAACACGCCCCAAAAAATAATAGTCCAGATTAAAAAAAAAAATAGTCCAGATAAAAAGACACGGACAGACATTTCTCCAAAGAAGACATACAGATGGCCAAAAGACACATGAAAAGACGCTCATCATCACTTATCAGGGAAATGCAAATCGAAACTATAATGAGATACCACATTGTTACTTGTCAGAAAGGCTAAAAAACACAAGAAACAATAAGGGTTGGTGGAGAAAAAAGAACCTTCGTGGACTGTGGGTGGGAATGCAAATTCCTGCAGCCACTGTGGAAAACAGTATGGAGGTTCCTCAAAAGGTTAAAAAAAAAACACAAAAAACCTTATGATCTAGTAATTGCACTACTAGGTATTTACCACAAAAATACAAGAATACAAACTCAAAAAGATACAGCATTTATTTACCATAGCCAAACTATGGACATAGTCCAAGTATCCATCAGTGATGAATGAATAAAGGTGTGTGTGTGTGTGTTTGTGTGTGTGTGTGTGTGTGTGTGTGTGTACACATACACACAATGGAATATTATTTATCCATAAAAAATCATGAAATCTTGCCATTTATAATAACATGGATAGAACTAGAGGGTATTATCCTAGGTGAAGTAAGTCAGAGAAAGACAAATACCGTAATATTTCACTCACATGTGGAATTTAAAAAAAACAAATGAGCAAAAGGGGAAAAAAATCCCCACAAACCAAGAAACATACTTTTAACTGTAGAGAACAAACTGATGGTTACCAGAGGGGAGGTGGGCAGGGGGCTGTGAACGAGGGCCCTTGCTGAAGTGGGGAAGTGTTGAATCACTATATTCATACCTGAACCTAACATAACACTGTATGTTAACTATACTGAAAATAAAACAATAAATCACAGCACTGTCTTAGGTCTGGGGAGATCTTAGAAAACTCTTTCTTGTAGCTCTATTCATTCTTTTCTATAGGAGTTGAGGGCCAGCTCCACAGTGACTTGTGAAGGGTTACTCTAAAGAAAAACAGCCTGTTCTCTGTTTGTCTCCTTTCCTTTCGGCATGGCGGGTGACCAAACGCTGCTCCTCTGTGCTTGGCTTCACTGCGAAATGACCTGGCTTGTTTTAGGATGAGGGATGAGAAGTACTGAGCACTGCTAGGGCATTCTCCCATGCTGACTGGATGGAGACTCAGTGAACAAAGAAAAGAAGAACACAGCAAGGGTGTCCGTTAAGAAACGAAGTTTTAGGGGCACCTGGGTGGCTCAGTCGGTGAAGCATCCGACTTTGGCTTGGTCAGCACCTCGCGGTTCATGAGTCCTAGGCTCCACGTCGGGCTCTGTGCTGACAGCTCGGAGCCTGGAGCTGCTTCAGATTCTGTCTCCCTCTCTCTCCACCCCTCCCCTGCTCACACTCTGTCTCTCTCAAAAATAAGGAGAGGAGAAGCAGTTGGGGTCTTCTGGGACCAGAAGCAGGGCTGGGAGCAGCACAGCAGCCCCTCAGAACCTTCCGCCCCTCCAGCTTCATCTGAAAAGCATGGGAACAACTTCTCTTTCTGGTTCTCACTACCTTTCCGGGATGGTACAAAGCTCTCACCAGGTGTTCTCAGTGAGTGCTCCCTTCTCAGTCAGTCCTCCTAGTGGGGTGAAGGTGGTGGAGAGGGCGAGCTCCTGAGGCAGAGCCCCCGGCTTCCTGTCTCAACTGAGCAACATCCTGAACGAATGGTCCCGGGACAGTTGTCTAACATCTAGAAACCCATTCCCTTGAAAGGAAAATGGATAGAAGAATGGTACCTATTTTAAAGCCATGTTGAAAGACTTAAATGAGATATGAATAGAGCACAGAGCACGTGGTGCCTAGCCCATCGGCGCTCAAGAAATGTTAGCTTTTGTTATCACCATCCCCGTCTCGCCCAGGCTTAGTGATGCTAACATTTAACATTCTCATCACGCAGGTGGTCAACAAAGCCAGACTCTGAATGCCAGAAGAATTCTGATCCCACAGCCTGAGTGGCTAGCAGCCACTCTGCGAGAGGAATGAAAGATCAGAAATAGTGACTCTAGGATGCTACATCTCTATAGAGGATAGGGATGCGCCCTGTCTCCGAAGGGCATTCTGCCACCTCTGAATCGGATTTGGTTTTGTCTCCAAGCAGTTAGAGGTGCTAAATTCACCAGCCCCAAGCTGGCTTTACTTATATTGTCTACTTCATGATCATAGATAAATTGGACACCCGTATTTTGGAGGTTGTGATCCTTGGAACACAGCCTGGGCTGAAGTTGAGTCTCGCTAATTAGTACTAATTAGTAAGGGAAAAACAACCAGAATTGTACATGAAGTCCAAAGAAAATAGCTTTAATTATTTCAGTATATATAAACGAGAAAACGAGGCAAACACCGTGTAGCTCAGCTGAGATCCATCAAGAGGCCAGCTTTAAGGATTAAATTTATAATCACGTATAATTAGTGCATCAATTATATGTAAATGATGTTTCAAGGAGCTGAATAAAACAATTATTTGGTAAAGCAGTTTAAACATTCCCTGTTATACTATTCATTGCTTCTTTATTCATAACACAAAGGTTAATTTCAGACCAGCCCAAGCAATCCAAACTAACAAGGTTCAAATTGAGGCCATACAAATTAATGAAGTGTTTCTAGTGAAGCTATCAAAAACAGATAAAGGGAAGAGGGTACAGAAAAGAGCCAAGTCCAAAGAAAAAGCTACTCCCAATATCTGGGGCACTCCCCAAAGGGCAGAATGACACCAGACACCCCCTGTTCCCTAGAATCCCCTCCCCACCCACAGCCCCGCCAGCACAACCCACCTCGTGTTAGACTTTCCCTATGAGGCCACGGAATGGCCTTTCTTTCCTCCTAAAGCAGGAGCTGATTTAGTCCAGAAGCCAGCCCTGAAGCCCTAGGGTACAGAACATGGGAGAGGGAAAAGGAGGGAGGGGGAGAGAAAAGGAAAGTAAGTGAAGGAACAGGAGGCAGAAAAGAGCATAGGTATCAGCTCTTCCTCTCTCGCTCTCATTCTCTTACATGTGCGCGCACACACCCAGGTTAGAGCAGAGGGAAGATATTAAGTATTTCACATAGAAAACTAAGCCCGGCGCTCCAAGCATCATGGCAACCTCCTGAAGAAATTCTCATTCTCAAGTCATCAAGCAATTGCACCAAGAAAACAGGACTTTTGAAGCCTTCCAAAACAACCCGTCTCTACTCCTGGTCCCTTCTATCCTCCTCGCCTGGGGACAGCTCTCGATGTGTCCTGCCCGGATGCCGTGCACATCTCTGCGCCCACAGAGTGTAACAATCTTCACGGTAGAGAAGAGCTCTGACTCCCGCTTTGTGTTCCTCCTGGCACAGCACCTGGTACTCGACAAAAACTCCCCGAACTGAACTGAAGAGGATGGACAAAATTTGCCACGCTGCAATCTTGTTAAAAAGCCCGAAGTTAGATCTTTCTGGCCAAGTATTACATCAATACAGAGATGGTTAAAATGATAAATTCTAGTTATGTCTATTTTACCACCAAAAATAAAAGTTTAGAAGCTATAAGTCTTAATTTGGGGATAAAAACTTGCAGCATGAAATGAGGGAAAAAAACGAACTCAACTAAGTGCTATGTCTTCACTGATGGAATATGGGCTAGGCACTGAGTTTAATCATCTGTTTGACTTAATAAACCAAATCACCGCTCCCTGACATCAAGCCCCAGGTCACGCTCAGCTAAGAAGTTAAATATCCATTCCTGAAAGGGTTCCAAGTGCCAAGTAGACATGGCTGGTGTGCCTTATCAAACTCCCTTACCACACCTGGTAAGTCAACAGAAGGACTCACAGCTCACTGCAGCAAAGCTTTAAACTTTTCCAGTCTAAGATTTTTTGAAAGGAAAGAGAGAAAATCAAATTAAGTTGAATTTTCTACCACAAAAAAAAAAACAAAAACAAAACCACACACACTTGAAAAAGCTTAACCAACAATTAAGAAGCATAACCTAAACCAGCACATGCATTGGTAAATTATCCAAGCATGTATCCTGGGTTATGTACAGCCCATAAAAATTACAAGACAACCAAATCATTCTAGAATTTCCCCCTAACTTTCTGCTGTGCTGTTGGCCAGCTTTGACTGGTGGAGGAAGCTTCCAGATTTAGACATCTGTTAATAACATTGAGTTTAAATGCAACGCAGGACTGCTTTCCTCTTATCGTGGGTAATTGAGTTTGTGGATGGAGGGAGACAGAAGTCCTATGCAGTAAAATACGAAATGATACTGGCTCAGCCACCCCATTACGTATTGGATTGTGTTTTGATTAGGTGTCCCCAAATGTGGTTCTGTCACGTGAGGCCATTCCGTTGAACATACCTAACGTCCAGGCAAAGTAATACTTGGGCTTCGAGGCTTGCATGACAATATATAAGTAGCACAGTCGACTCAGAAAGCTTGCTTTATGAACAAACCAGTCATCAACCAGGCAGGTGACAGGGAAGGTCTTCGTGAGGGTCAAAAACAGAAGGAGAGACACCAAGGTCATGTACAACTTGTGGATCACAGCTCCCTGAAAATGTGGAAAAGAATCGGTGTAACCATTAGAGATTCCAGCATGAGGAAAAGCCATTTCAGCAAGGGCACGTTAAGAACAAAGCTGTGCTCAATAAACTATTTGTAAAAAAAATAAATAAATAAAAAAATAAAAGACAGAACTTTCTGGGGGGAAAAAAAAAAAAAGAACAAAGCTGTGCTAAGGCAGTATTCCCTAGAAGAGACAACAGGCATGCGTAGGACACAAATTGGATGCTGGTGAGATGGGCTACGTGTAAAGGAAGAATCCTCCCCTGACCCTTGGGGACTGAATGTGTCTAAAATGGAAGACAACTCTTACCAGCACATTCTACCAACCAGAGGTAGGTGTTTTATTACCCAAGACATAAGAGAAATAGCATTATAGGGTGGCAGTCTTCCATCAGAAAGAACCATTTCACTTGTCTTCCACTTCTGTCACCAGCAGAGCCGAGGAAATGGGTTTCAATCACCACGAGGACGACAGAGGCTTAGTTAGGAAGGATTCTGTGCAAGTTTTTAAGTGCCTGAGCCAGGACATGAGCAGGTAACGGAAAGCTTTAGGAAGGCTTCCAGGATGGTTTATGTGTAGTCTGCTCTGGCATTAAGACATGCTAGTGTTTTTTGTTTTTGTTTTTTTATGTTTATTTTTGAGAGAGGGATAGAGTGTGAGTGGGGGAGGGGCAGAGAGAGAGGGAGACACAGAATCCGAAACAGGCTCCAGGCTCTGAGCTGTCAGCACAGAGCCGGACGTGGGGCTTGAACCCATGAACCATGAGATCATGACCTGAGCCGAAGTCAGATGCTTAACCAACTGAGCCACCCAGGTGCCCCATGATGTGCTAGTGTTTTAAATGCCTCTGGACCAGGTGATTTTTGCTCAGCTTCCCTTACACTCCAGGCAATGTCACTGAACATCAATAGAATTCTAGTTCCCAACTTTAAAACAATTGGGCCACTTTCTTTTTGTAACATGGGGATATAGCAATAGCACCTCCCTCAGAGCGTTTGAGGGTTAGGTGATGAATATCTGCAGGGTGTCCAGAACAGCGTCTGGGTCCCAGTCGGATGCTCACCAGGCTTAGCCACGATGATAACAGCCCACTGGGGAAGTACCAGATTGTGAGTGCCAGCCCCCTCCCAGCAATATGTCTTCAGCCAAAATACCACCTCACCGCGTCATGTTCTCCAGGCACCAACATGCAACAGTCCCCCGGAGAGTGCTGTTAAGACTCCCCGATAACATTCTCTAAGAACATGTGAAACACAAAAGCACTACTGTGGCAGAGCCTGCCAGGACACACCTGTGGGTACCCTGATGTCTCATGGTATGGCGACCTCACTCCTACATCGCCTCAGTGACGCAGTGAGGGCGGAGACAGTGGACAGACCATAAACTGCGTAAGACCCAACACTATCAAAACTATCTGAAAATGCATGCTCGACAAGTCACTTAAATTTTCAAGTAAGTTTGCCTAGATTTTAGCATTTACAAAATATTTAACTCCAGTTTCCTGATTTTCTCCTTTTTCCAATTTTCCCTATTCCTGCAGCTAATTACAAACGCCCCATACATATAGGCTACGTGACTGGAATAAATGTAGTGTACTTGTAAAGTTCAAGAAGCGATCCTATTGTTGAGTAATTTGAAACTAATAAAATTCAAATTAAAATGAAAACGTTAAAAAAAACTCTCAAAGTCCATAGAACCAAGATTTAAGCATGCCGACGTAAAACTGGTTTCCCACACGAGAAGCAAGCTCTGCAATAAAAATCACATGTATTCTGGTTCCCATCCCTTCCCATCCCCTTTCATGACATCACCCTTTGGCTGGATATGAACTTCCACTCCTGAAGACAAAACACTCATAAATCCGAATGTGTTAACGAGCACAGTGTCAGGCACACTGTAAGCATTAAATATTGGCTGGCTGACTAATGGATCGATTGCCTTAATATTTCCAGCTAGCGAGCTCCTCTGCGAAATAAACATCTGGTGTTCCAACCTGGAAATCTGCTGCAAATCAATACCAATTCCAGTATTTTAAATGAATAGGGGTGGTGGTGGGGGCTGTTGGCCAAGCTTTTTGGTAAAGTGTTTGGCTTTTTAATTAGAACAATTACTAGGGAGAGTCAGCCCTGGCAGCAGAACTCTATGTTTCTGGAGCTCTGGGTAAATACTTGGCACTGAAAACTTACAGTGGGAGAAGGCTCCGGCAGGCTGTGGAAACCTCTCTGCTTCCAGTTCACTTCCAGCAACTTCATGTGCGTATGTCTCCCCTCAATAAAGGCTATATAATCCTTGAAATTGTTGCAAGGGCCAGCTATGACACTCATGAAGTTGAGAAGATAGCTTAAGTATTCCAAAAAAGAGGGTTTTACTCTGTGAAAATAAACAACAAGTTGAAGTCTTCGGTCTTTTTCTCTTAGATGCACCAGTAGGCCAATTCTAAACGGGTGTTGTCTCTGTAGAATATAACAGGACCTGGTCTTTCTAGGTTCCGTTTCTCCAAAAATCCACCAAAGCTAGAAACTCTGAAAGGGCAAGTTAAATCAGGGAGTGGCTCAGAGAAGGCGCGGCGCTCCGGGGCGCCCCCTGCTGGCCAGCCGCGGCTATCGACATGGAGGGTGAGGTCCGGGGTAACTGAGGCTGGAAGTCCACTTTCTCATCAACCTTAGTTGTCTAACAAGAGAAAACGAAGGTAATGAAACCTAAGACAGGGTGGGAACCTGGCCTAAAGTTAGGTGATGGAGACGCTCTGAAATGGGAAAACTCCCTCCCGACTGCCAAAACAAGTACTAAACAAATGATGGGTGGAACCCTTTTCCACTCGAAGAGAACACGCGAAACCACCACTGCAGCAGTCTCTCGTCTGCTTCGGCCCGAGGTCCTGAACAAATGACAGAAGTAGGGGCAGGAAACGAATCTGTAGAGACCGGTTCTGTGTAGTGTTTTAATGGCATTCAAAAGGGCGGGCTGGTGGTGTGGGGATAGGCTCCCTAAAATGCCATTGCTAACCAGTCACCGGAATTATGTCCTACAGCATTTACACCCTCATGGTACGGAGCAGAGAATCTGATTCATTAGTCTCTAGCAGTGGGTCTCTAATCCTTTAATGTGAAAATGAGGCATTCAATCTCCTTGGTAACTCAGGACCCTCTCTTACTTACCCTATTTCCTACACGTCTCCGGTAGGAACGCGCCACCACGGCTGTACCACCTTCCCCAACGGGCTACCCCGCGGGCCCTTCCCTTCCCTTCCCTTCCCTATCAATGCTACTGTCCTCCATCACAGCCACCCTTCCTCTCCAACACCCACACCAGCCACAATCTGTCTTCAGCCTGCTTCCTGCCTCCTATTCCCCAGCCCACACTCCCCCATCCAGCCCTTTGAGTCCGTTTTCATACCAGCATTTAATCCTCCTGACGGGCACTGACAATTCTTTCTTGAGAACCCTCAGACACACACCCAATAAAAATAACTCTGTAGTAACAGACCTAACAACCTCAGCGAAGGAGAATCTTGCGAAACCAACACAATTACAGATCCATTTCCTCTCTGGCCCAGGAACCCCGCTTCTGGGAATCCCTCCCCCCAGTATACCCAAGCCTATTTAAAATGACCAAGGAACAGGGTTATTTGTCACTTATTTGTAAAAGCCAAGGACTGAGAGACAACGCAAGTATCCACCAGCGGCAGATTCGTTAAATGAACAATATTCCATCCCTATCATGGAATGAATGTGCAGACATTGAAAAAGACGATCTCTAGAACGGACATACCAAGGGCTAGAGGACATACTGTTAAACTTACTTCACAGCGAGTCGACGTTGCTCATTAGACAGGTCTTCAGATCTTCGACCTAATCCTATAAAAAAGAAAGAAGTCAGGAATAAGATGTTTGCCGTAGATAAATCCAAAAGAGGCTTATAAAATTCAGTTGAAGAAAGTGATTTCTTTCATATTTCATTAATTTTGCTTCATAAATCATAAATGGGTCCTCTCCTTTTCCTTTTATTTTTTTAATGTCCTGGATTAAAGAGTTACCCACAAATGTGTGCATGAGGAGGAAAGTCTCTCTGTGTTCTTGTGGAAAGGGGAGAATTCAGGGATTCCTCCTATTTAACCTGCACAGTAGGTCATGGATCCCAGAGAAGTCCCACATCTCCTCCGCCTGTTACCAAAGTGCCCATGGTTTCATTGCTACATGACAGCGAGAAGCTGGCCTCTGCAGCCTGTACCAGCTTAAATACCTCCCTGAGTGTGCTGGGTGCAGACAACCGCTTATCAGCTGAGAGCATGGGTGTGCAATGGGGACAGGAACAGGGGACTTTCCTCTTCCATAAAAAAAAGAAAATGTAAGCCTGAATGCAGGGAAAACACAAAAGAATTAGCAGGTGATTCTTCTTTTAAAATTCACCCAGGGGCACCTGGGTGGCTCAGTCGGCTAAGCATCCAGCTTCGACTCAGGTCATGATCTCACGGTTCCTGAGTTCAAGCCCTGTGTTGGGCCTGTAACGACAGCTCAGAGCCTGGAGCCTGCTTTACATTCTGTGCCTCCCTCTCTCTTTGCCCCTCCCATGCTCGTGCTCTGTCTCTCTCAAAAATAAACATTAAAATTTTTTTTTAAATAAAATTCATCCATGCCAGAAAAACACCTCAACCAAATCACATGTGTGTTTCTCATAAAATTCAGATGTTAACTGGAACTGAAGTGTCATACACAAAAGAAGTTGACTTTAAAACTGTATATTCAGCTAAGACTTATGGTCACTGATCATAAAGGCAATTCAGAAACACGTCAAAAGGCAGACAGAATGTTTCTGGAATTAACTTGTTCCTCCCATACACAACAAAAAAAGAAATGGCAAATAAACATCTTGCTTCATAGAAGGGTTGTTCCAGAAAATAGGGTATACTGAGAATGCCCTAGTAAATGAAGACGGTGCGCCTGGGTGGCTCAGTTGGTTGGGCGTCTGACTTCAGCTCAGGTCATGATCTCACGGTTCATGGGTTCGATCCCCATGTTCGGCTCTGTGCTGATAACCCAGAGCCTGTTTCAGATTCTGTGTTTCCCTCTCTCTCTGCCCCTCCCCTGCTCATGCTCTGTCTCTCCGTCTCAAAAATAAACATTAAAATAAATAAGTAAATAGTAAATGAAGGCAAAAGGCGTATTTAAAAAAAAGCAGTGTTTAAAAAAAATTCATACTTTCTTCTAAGATGTCAACAATACATCTCCAGCAATCCTAGAAATTAAATTGATTTTAGCTACTGGCTTATGCTGTTACTGTTAGTCTATACCCACTATCAGCTAGACTTTTAGGTACAAAAACATTCAGCAGCTCACCCCGGTTTTCCCAGGACTTTCCCAGTTCGGGCCCTAAAAGTCTCACGTCCTGGGAAAGTGCTCAGTTCTGGGCAAACCAGGACAGACGGACACCCTAGAAAAGATCCCATGCTTGGTATGAAGTTACCTGGTTCTCTGCAAAATCATTAAATCGCCAAGGATGAACTAGGAATTTCCGGGGTCAGAATGAAATTAAATCCGTTCCCAAGCTTTAAAGAAAAATAATACTAGTTGACAGAGACTATAAATCTTCTCAACCTGTTAGCACATAAAGAAGCTTCTACCGTCTGAAAGCATTTGCCGGAGCAGGACAAAGCCATAGAATATACTTTTACTAATTGTACCTGACACCTCTTAAGCCCATAATGAAATCTTCCCCCCAGCTGAGAGTGCCAGCTTCGTCCCCTGGAGCCAGGTTTTAATTGTGTAAATCACACTTTCCCAGCCATTTCCAGGAAGGGCATGAGCAAAGAAAATGTTCAATTTTATACAAACAGTAGATTCCTCCTTCTTCCAGGAGAAGGGTCAAGCTAATCTCATTAGATGATTTTCCAAGCCAAGCAAAAACACTAAACGATATGAAACGAGCATTAAAAAATGATTAACCTGGGCGCCTGGGTGGCTCAGTCGGTTGAGAGTCCGACTTCGGCTCAGGGCATGATCTCACAGTTCCTCAGTTCGAGCCCCACATCGGGCTCTGTGCTGACGGCTCACAGCCTGGCACCTGCTTCAGATTCTGCATCTCTCTCTCTCTCTCTCTCTCTGTCCCTCCTCTGCTCACACTCTGTCTCTCTCTCAAAAAACAAATCAACATTAAAAAAAAAAGACTAATCAGCCAATAATATTTTTTATTACCTTGTGAATGAATGCTTCAGATTAAACCAAAGAAAAAGGATGCCATTTCTTCTCAACAGATTTAGAAATGAAGGGCAGAAAGCATCATACATTTAAAACATGGTAAAGGTAAACCAAAAAGTCCCTTCTTGGTGTAAAAACTTTAGGAAATTTAGATGACAGATTCAGCAGGAAAGTGGTAAATAACAGCTGGGACAATAAAAAGCTTTGATTAAAGAAATTTGCAAATTTTTGACAAGTTATAGTAAGATCTGGACTGTGGACAGAATCTAAAAATTTTTTTAATGTTTTTTAAAATTTTATTTATTTACAAAAGTTTTTTTTTAATGTTTATTCATTTTTGAGAGACAGAGAGAGACAGAGCATGAGCAGGGGAGGAGCAGAGAGAGAGGGAGACACAGAATGTGAAGCAGGCTCCAGGCTCTGAGCTGTTAGCACAGAGCCCAACATAGGGCTCAAACTCAAGAACCATAAGATCATAACCTGAGCCAAAGTCGGACGCTCAACTGACTGAGCCACCCAGGTGCCCCTTAATTTATTTTTGAGAGAGAGAAACAGAGCGTAAGCATGTGAGGGGTAGAGAGAGAGGGAAACACAGACCCTGAAGCAGCTCCAGGCTCTGAGCTGTCAGCAGAGAGCCTGACGCGCGGCTCGAACTCACAGACTGTGAGATCATGACCTGAGCCAAAGTCGGATGCTTCACTGACCGAGCCACCCAGGAGACGCCCCAGGACTATGGATATAGTCTAAACCAAGAACTCTGTCAGGCTCACTCTCAGAACCAAAAGGAGAGTCGTTTTTCTCACCATCATGAACTTGGAATGCCAAGGCCGTGATCTTCTGTGTGACAATCATCAGAGGCCTAAAAGGAAGACAGAAGATAATCGATTGGCAGAAGGGCCACTAGAAGAAACTTTTATTCTATTTGCCAGAATGGTGGTCTTTTATCTCAAAGGTTACTCAATAAAATACAAACACAATGGATTTCAAAAAACCATTCTTATTTCCCTTCTACTTTAAATAAGTCGATATGACAACAGGGAACAAGATCATACCAGAAAGCCTCTCTTGTGCTGTTACCCAAAGTGTTAAGTTCCAGTACCAGCACCACCTACGTCACCTGGAATTTGTTAAAAATGCCGACTCGTACACTCCTTCCAGAACCAGAGAATGGAAACATGCATTTTACCAAGATGTCCAGGGAACCCAGATGCACAATGACATGCGGGCAGCATCGGGGGGGGGGGGGTACCTAAATCCACTGTCCACTGTCCTACTTCCGCCTGGATAAGATACATATTCTGGCTTCTTCATTCTAGTATCTTCTAATGGGTTGTTCTGGTAAAGGCAATTCTTGCATGTACTTTTTCCATGGTAAAAGACACATTTGTGAAATGCGGCCACCTATCAATAAACCACTTAGTGACAAAAAAATAACACCAATCCTAATTTGAAAAAAGACATCAAATAAAAACTTGCCTAAGAAGTGGCATCATGTCAACAAGGATGCCAAGATAATTCAAGAGAGGCAAGAACAGTGTTCTTAAATAGTGATGGCACAACTAGACAGCCACATTAAAAAAAATACAAAATTAATTAAAACTGGATCAAAGACCTAAATGTAAAAGTGAAAAGTATAAAACTCTTAGAAGAAAACACAGGCATAAATCTTTATGACCTTAGATTTGGTGATGGTTCTTTTTTTTTTTTTTTTTTTAATGTCTATTTATTTCTGAGAGAGAGAGAGAAAGAGCACAAGCAGGGGAGGCACAGAGAGAGAGACACACACAGAATCTGAAGCAGGGTCCAGGCTTGGAACTGTCAGCACAGAGCCTGACATGGGGCTCGAGCCCACAAACTGTGAGATCATGACCTGAGCCGAAATCAGACGCTTAACCGACTGAGCCACCCACGCACTCGTTGGTGATGGGTTCTTAAATCTAACACCAAGAACAGAGGTAACAAAAGAAAGATACAAATTAAATGCATATCATTAAAACTTAAGATCTTGTGCTTCAAATCACACACAATCAAGGAAGTGAAAAGACATTTCACAGAATGTGTGAATATATGTGTAAATGATACATCTGATAAAGAACTTAGTATTGGAATATGTAAAGAACTCTCAAAATTCAGTAAGAGTAAGACAGTAACACAATTTTAAAATAGCCAAAGGATCTGAATGGACATTTCTCTAGAAAGGATATACAAATAGTAAGAAGTTGTTCTGGCTGGAGGAGAAGATGCTCAACAATAGTCAGCCATCAGAGAAATGCAAATCAAATCATATACCCCTCCGAAGCACAAGGATGACTAGAATCAAAAAGATAACAAGTATTGGCCAGGAGATGGAGAACTAGAACCTGCATACACTGCTGGTGAGAATATTAAATGGTACAATCTATTATTTTAAAAAATTTTTAATGTTTATTTTTTTAGAGAGTCAGAGTGTGAGCAGGGGAGGGGCAGAGAGAGATGGAGACACAGAGAGAGATGGAGAGCAGGCTCCAGGCTTTGAGCTGTCAGCACAGAGCCCAATGCTCTGTGCTCGAACTCACGAACCATGAGATCATGACCTGAGTCAAAGTCGGATGCTTAACTAACTGGGCCACCCAAGCACCACAGTACAAGCCACTTCAGAAAGTCTGGCAGTTTCTCAACAGGTTAAACATAGAGTTACCGTATAGCCAAGAAATTGCACTCCTAGTACATACCCATGAGAAATAAAAATATTCTTACAGAAAAACTTGCACACACGTGTTCAGAGCAACATTATTCATAACAACCCAAAGGGAAATAACCCAACTGTCTACCAACTGATGAATGAGTAAATGAAATGTGGTATGTCTATACAATAGATTATTCAGCAATAAAAACAATGAAGTACAGACACGTGCTATAATACAGATGGTCCTTGAAAACGTTATGCTAAATGAAAGAGGCCAGACACAAAAGTCATATATTGCATGGTTCCATTTACATGAAATACCTAGGACAGGCAAATCCATAGAGAAAGGAAGTGTTGCCTAAGGCTCGGGCATTGGGAGATGAGGACTAATGGCTAATGCATACAGGTTTCATGGGGGGGGGGGGGGGGCGGTGAGGATGGGTGATGAAAATGTCATATAACTAATTATGGTAATGGTTGAACTCTGTAAATCCACTCTGTAAATATATTCAGAACCAATGAACTGTATTCTTTACCGGTTTTATTTTTTTAAGTTTTTAATTTTCTAAACTTTATTTTGGAGAAACAGTGTGCATGGGCAGAAAGAGGCAAAGAGGGCAAATCCCAAGCAGGCTCCACACTGTCAGTGCTGAGCCCAATGTGGGGCTCAAACTCACAAACCAAGAGATCATGGCCTGAGCCTAAATCCTAAGTTGGATGTTTAACGGACTGAGCACATGGGCATCCCTGAATTGTATTCTTCAAATGGGTGAACTGTAGGATATGTGAATTATATTTCCCTAAGAGGAAATGGAGTTAGAATCCTCCTACATACTCACTTTCCCATGCGTGTAAGGACAAGTACCATATGCTCTTGCTCAGAAGACTTCCTCTCTCAACATTTTTCCACTGATCAATTTATTTATACTTCTCAGTAGATTAGATGCCAAATTCAGAATGCCCAAGTTACAAGATTTGAGAGTCAAATCCGTAAAGTTACTGACTTAAAAGATGAAACTCAAATACCATCCATGTTGCACTTCAGTCAAAACCTAAAATAATCCAAGACATATTTGATGATGATTGGAACCCATGCTTACTTCTTGCAAAAATGCAAAACTCAGCTACACAAGCACATACTACAAGTACAGGAGGGACATAAAAAGGCTCCTTGATGCAACCAAAGAACTTCCTCAGAACAATGAGGCCTTAAAACTTGAGCTGTACTCAGACTTTCCAGCCCCTGAGAAATGCGCCTCGTCCTAGGGTTTGTACACACTCACTAGTAGTAGGTGCTACACTTGCATCCAGGGGAACTACCTGATCAATCTGAAATCAAGGTTTGAGTCCAGCATGGTTGAGGGAGGACCATTTCTCTTTTGTCTTATAACATTTTTTTCATGATATAAAAAATATAAACAGGCCAGCTTCTGGGGAAGATGGTAAAATAGGAGGATCCTAAGCTTACCTTGTCCCACGGATCCAGCTAGACAATAGCACATCAGGGTAGATAACCCAGTGTAGTAAAAAATGACCTGAAGGGGGTGCCTGCGTGGCTCAGTCAGTTAAGTGTCTGACTTCAGCTCAGGTCATGATCTCACGGTTCGTGGGTTTGAGCCAGAGCCTGGAGCCTGTTTCGGATTCTGTGTCTCCCTCTCTCTCTGACCCTCCCCTGCTCATGCTGTCTCTCTCTCAGGAAAAAAAAAAATGACCTAAAGACTGACAGAGCAGATTCACCACAGCTAAACTTAGAGAAGAGGCCACATCAAAAAGAGTAGCAAGTGTGCAAAAGCAATTGGGAACCAAAGTGACCCATGAGACTGTCTGTGGGAAGGAGGGTCACTGTAAGCACGGAGAGGAGGGAACCCCACACCAGGCACCCAGGCACTGGGAAAATACATCCCCATCACATTTGGCTTTGAAAACCACAGGGGCTTAACTTCACCAGTTCTTAAAACCAGCAGGGCTTAACACCTAGAAGGTTAAAAAAATCAGCGGGCTCAACTCCAAGGCAGCTGCAGCTTGATAGGAAACTGAGTCCTGGACCCTAAAGAGACAGAGTAACAAACAGGCCTGCTGAGATACAGCAATCTGAAGACTACCTGGGGTACACTGTGGTACACAGGAAGGAGATTTACTCACTCATCTCAGAACGTGGCCTTGAAAGGCAGAGATCTTTAGGAGTCTTCTCTAAAAACAAAAGAGCTGGTGGGTGCCATTTCTCTCCCCTACATCCCTGCCTAAACAGGACACCTGTGGGAACCGGCTCAAATACTCTCCAACTAGCTTGCTAATACCGCACACCCCCACTCTCTTGGCCCATCCAGTCTGCCCTTGGCAGGAGTCTATCCAAAGCAACACCACAAGCTAATCTGACCCATTAGCCCAAGGTGGCGCAAATGGCCCATTAGCAACACAGGGACCAAATCCTGCCCACAACAGGCAAAGAGAGCCATTGCAGACAACTGGTCTGAAGGCAGACACAGCTCAGTCACAACAACAGGGTGCACTCTGCACACAGAGGAAACAACCATGAAGCGCCAGGTTCTGGTGAACATGGGACATTGCACCGTAGGGCACTAAAGGACCCCTTCTTCATAAGGCCACTGCTTTCAAGAGCAGGAGACACCGCTGACTTTCCTAACACACAGAAACAGACACAGAGAGTTAGACAAAATAGGATGGAGGACTATGTCCCAAATGAAAAAACAGGACAAAAATCACAGCAAGAGGGCCAAATGAAATAGAGGTAAGTAATATGCCTGAGAGATAATTTAAGGTAATGTTCACAGGGGCACCTGGGTGGCTCAGTTGGTTCAGCGTCTGACTTCGGCTCAGGTCATGATCTCATGGTTCATGGGTTCAAGCCCCGCATCGGGCTCTGTGCTGACAGCCAGCTCAGAGCCTGGAGCCTGTTTCGGATTCTGTATCTCCCTCTCCCTCTGACTCTCCTCTGCTCATGCTGTCTCTCTCTCTCTCTCTCTCAGAAATAAAACATTAAAAATAAATAAATAAATAATGTTCATAAAGATACTCAAGGGACTTAAGAGTGGAGGATCTCAGTGATACATTCAAGAAAGAGTAAACATAAATGAGCTCGTCAGAGATAAAGAACTCAGTAACTAAAATTTATTAGAAAGGACTAAATAGTGAACTAGAGAAAGCAGAAGAATGGATCCGTGAACTGGAGAACT